TTGTTGGAATTTATCCGACTAGTATAATGATACTAGTCGGGGTTTTGGAATGAAATATGTTAGAATTGATCCAAGGTTTTGGATTGTAAATTGTTGAGCCTTAAGTAGTCTTAAGAGATACTAAGGTGGATAAGTGATGCTAGGGGTAGTCCTTAAGGGATACCCAAGATAAAGTGAATAATAAATTGATCCTAGGAATAGGATTGGCCTACGGGTGTATTCGGTAGTCTTTAAGGATTAGCCGATAGAGTATTGGTAATTAGTAAGGACCATGGCCCTTCCCGACTCTAGAGAGCGGTGTTGGATAGCATGGACTTACATCGTGATCACGGGTTAGGGTGGAATCCGAACCGGAGACCTTACGAGGCTCCCGACAGCGGTAACACATAAGATAGGACCCCGAATGGACCTTACCTTCCTACGGGACGATGGGTATGAGTTCAGGGGCGGGATGTTGGACTCCGGCCCGGGGACCCGGTGAGGCCTCGGAGAGCGGTGACAAGTCTCGTAAAGGATGATAAGACCTACGGGCGGTGTCGTGCTAACGACGGGTATAATGAAATATATGAAATGGGCCGTGTGCCGACAAATAAATAAATTTACTTATTATAGAGATAATAAGTGGGAAATATAAATTATTATTTATATTATGATATCACCCTATTTTGAGGGTCTTAGAAGTTGAAACATTGATTATACTTGGTATAGTTGTCATTGTACTTGTCAAATGCTTCCAAGTACTGACCTCCCCTTCACGGGGGAGGCCACCTCACAGTTTCAGGTAGGGAGTAGAGCTTGCTACCAGTGCCCGTTGCCTCGGGAAGATCTAGGAAGGAAGACGTGGTTCGTGCTTCCTCCGTCTCTATTTTAAAAACATTTCAATTAATGCTCATGGATATTTTTGAATGATTATTGGGGCTTGTATGCCCATGTTTGCCGGAGTGTGGCATAAACACTTGTATTAAACGTTTCCGCTGACTTCAATTGATTATTTTACATTATGTTTGTTTATGGATGTACTATTGTGAATGATATTCAAGACGCCTAGTATAGTATGGATGAGTTGGACTGCGGTTGACTATTCGTACTGTACGGCGGGTTGTTGACGTGTCCGGTAGGTCCGGGGCGTGACATGAATAACCAAAAGGTTGGATTATTGTAAGAAGACCGCTAAAAGGTTGGATTATTAGTTTCCATTTTCCCTTTATATTATTGTCTTTGGGCTGCCGGTGCCTCCCAATTCTCAAACATCATACCAATTATCTATTATGTCTCAAAAAACTTAATGGATTAGCAATTTGAAACATTGCACGTGTGATCTTGGAAAAGATTGGTGATAAAGCAATCTTAATTATTTAATTATTAATATATTAATTAATTAACACGAATTTTGATATTATTTTGATAAAAAAAGTCATAAGGTCATAGATTGAGAAACTGATGGAGTTTTACTCATATCTTTGATAATTATCTCTATATAATACGTACTCCGTATAGAATAGAATAAGCAACAATTTTCATGAAATACCAAACATTCAATATATGTGGTGCAGCTGAATTCTCAAGGGTTATCGTCCCTGTCCTTGTCCACTTTGTTGTTTTTCTTTTCCACATACACGAAGATGTTCGTCCCACACGGCCACACCGTTAAAGAGTGGAAACATTCCTCCTTCCAACACAGTATATATAAGAGGCACCCGGACGGGAAAAAGGCGTTCTATCACCATCTCTTCCTTGCGCGGAAGAGAAGCTAAATATGGATTCTTCAAAACCTCCATCTGTTCCTCGCCTTTCCATGTTATCCACATTCGGTTCCAATCCCGAGAGAGGCAGCAACTAATCAAGACTTCAAACGCGCTAAAAAGGCATTGGAATATTCGAATCCACTATGTTGCACCTAGAGATCGATCCACCAATTTTGGTTCCAATTCTGAGTGAGAGACCAACTAATCAAGACATCAAATGCGCTGAACTGGCATTGGAATATTATAATAAGAAAAACGGGAAGAAGAAAAGGTATGAACTTGTGGAGGCCGGGTTTAGTAGTCTTTTTGTATCGTGCATGTGGGAATGAGAAGGCCCCCACCAAGTTCTTCTTTGGAAGAAGAGTTGTTACTGCCTCTCGTATTTTAAGAGGTAAAGGCACCGGTGGATTTCGTATGGGCCTCTACCGTGATAAACTTCGTGCATTGCGTTCCAATAAGGAAGGAAGTTTGGTTGATGATGGCTCTAGCTAGATATAGCCATGTCTGATTTCTGGGATGGTGCTGCTAGCAAGGGATTTTTCTGAATGTTTTTTGTTTTGAATGCAGAAGTCTCTTTGTTTTTTTTAATTTGGGGAGTTAGCAATGACCTCTCAACTTCGAAGTTTGATTATCACTCAAATCCTTGCACTATAAAAAATGCACTCTCACAGTCTCAACTCTTACCTATCTTTTATATACATAGTTTCTTAACTTTTGATTGTTCATATTAAAGACCTTTCCACCCGAATCTATACCTAGTAAAATATAAAAAATTATCAAAATGGACATCATTTAAAAAGTTCGACCAAAAGATCCATGATTTAATAAAATTAAAAGTGAACAGAATAAAAAATTATGGAACTATATCTATAATTTTCTCTAAATATAAATGAAAAATTACTTAAACATCATTAAAAGATAGAGTGGATAAGAGTACTTGTTTTATTGTGCAGGGGTATATGTGTGTTACATATTACTTCCTCCGTTCTTTTTTAGTTGCAACGGTCAACATTTCACACTTGCCAACGCACATCTTTGACCGTAATTATATCTTAATCCCTATTAGTATAAAATATTTAAAAATTAGATTTTGAAACTTTGTAATGAGATGAATTGAACAATATAATTTTAAAAAAATAATTTTCATAAAATAATAATAAAAAATGTAGTCAAAGTAGAACATGTGAATAGTGTAAAATTCAACACGTTGCGATTAAAAAGAGACGGAGGATAGTATAATGCACTAAATCTCAAGGGATATCAATGATAATTTTCCTTTTAACTTTTGTTCCATGGGGTGTTGATGACGTCAATCACTCTTTGAAAGGTTCTTGCTCTAAAATGAAACTAGAGAAATAATATATGGAAGTGTAGCTCAATATGTGGGAATAATGTCACAAAGGACCTATTTTGCTAATTTGTTGAGGCTATAAAATGTTTAGTGATTTACATTTTAGACAAGACATGTTTATTTATTTAAACAAATTTACCTTATCATGAGGAACAATATGTTAGTAGATCACTTAGAGTGTTACGTATTGGCAGCACGAAGGATTTTTTGAAGTAAAAAAATAGAGAAGTATAATGATATTCAACGTATTAGATTTTTTTAAGTTAAAAAAAATATAGGATAACTTCCCGAAATAGGACCAAAACAGTTTGAAAATTCCAAAATAGGATTGTCATGTTTTTATTCCCAAAATAGGAGTAGTTACTACCAAACATGGAAAATACTGTCATGTTTGAAGTCTGATACTGCCAAAACATGACAGTAATTAGTTCTATTTTGATAATGAAAATATGACAGTCCTATTTTTGGAATTTTCAAACTTTTTTTGTCCCATTTCGGATAATATCTCAAAAATATAACGTTTTCGTTATATTCAATGTAAATTTCCCTTTATGATACGGAGTATTAGATTAAATTTTAGCACTGTTTGATGCAGGCATGTCCATGATGTGTCCAAAGAAAAGCATGTTTCTTTTTTACACAATAAAGCCATAAAGGCAGCCTTAAGTTTTTGGAGAGGATCACAATAGTAATCTATATCCATTTTCCCATTCATCACTCCAAAAATTTTATGGAGCCATATGTGACTCTCTTATGGAGTCACATAGGCTATTGTGGCATCACCACAACCACACATTATTTTATTGAGGATCCTCAATAAAATATTGAAGATCCTCAATAAAATAATGTGTGGTTGTGTTGATGCCACAATAGCCTATGTGACTCCATAAGAGAGTCACATATGGCTCCATAAAATTACTCGAGTAAGGGTTGACACTATTAAACGGACATTAATTTGTATTCACCCCAATTTATTTTTATGACACCATTTGATGGAGTATATGGCCCACAGACTCATACTTCTCCAACACAGGCTCAATAAGCCCAGGAAGCACATGAGAGGCCCAAACACAGTGGCCTAAGCTTAAAAGGAACCCACAGTACGCATATGGATGCCTTCGGCACCATGACCGAGGGCTCCAAACTCTAGCAGACATCTGGATCTGGACCTGCGAAGCTTCTGGGGGATTTTGGCTAAACCAGTAGCCTTCGGCCAAAAGGAAGCCTTCGGCACATATGTGGAGCCTTCGGCCATGTATGACTAGGCCGAAGGGTCACCACTCTCAGCAAAGATTCCCTCTGAAGACAGGCAACCACCGCATTCAATGCGGCGTCACGTCCAACCACCGCATTTAATGTAGTGCACATGCAATTGCTTGTGTCACCCCGATCGAGATGACCCTCAGCCACCGGATGGTTGACACGTGTACGCGCATAGCATTTATGGTTGCTATAAATAGCAACTCCTTTCCGCTTGTAAAACATCCCGAGTTCATTTAATATATTTGACACTCTCTCTTACTTGTTTGATCTGACTTCTCTCTAGATATTTCTAGTGATATCCCTCGAATAAGCTACTCCTGAATATATTATCCATCACCATTATTAGTTCGGATTATTTTTGTGGATACTCTAAGTAAAGATTATTATTATAGAATTCCTAAAAATATGAATCGTTCTTATGAATTTTGCCTGAATTTTTCACATCATATTTGCGTGTTGGAGCTTTGGATGTTTAAAGCCATGCAAGTAAAAGTCATTCGACTGAAATTACTAAATCTGTTGGGTTTTTAACGTGGTGTGTAGTAAAACCAATTTGAAGTAGTCATTAAAAAAGAGGCTGAGTAAATCGAAAGTAAGTTGTTCTCATAAAAAAATAGAATAAGCAAAATAATGCTACCAAATTCCAACAAGACCAAACAAATTATACTCGTAAGATTCTGTGTTACAAGCGGCTATGATTCTATTTCTATGAATGAGGCAAAATAAAAAATAGGAGAGTCTTGACTACTATTACAACAAAGGAAAAAAGGACTCCAATCCTTGCCCAATTTCCCATATTGAGATGCCAACATCCCAGGAGAGAGCCGCCTCAAGCCGCATTACTAGTGACAAGAACGACGGGTAGAATACGACATGTCTGGCATGTTGATCATCAGTGTACACGAAGAAATGCTCCCCGCTGGTGTTCTCCCACTCCAATGCCGGCTTGTGCTTCTCCAACAATGACACATACTCATGTGCTATAATAGGCCCGCCCCCTAATCCTGCAAACGAATTACATGTCTCATTGCCATGAGAATCAGAAGTCCAGAAGTAACCTTCAGCATAATAAGGGAAGGTGACACACACACTTAACTTTAAGGGCAATTTTATCAAATCTAATTGAGCTTATTTAGACTACTAATAAGGAAATGGGCGAAGAAACAATACCATCAGAGGAAGATTTAGGGAATATTCCGGAAGTAGCCTTCCTGAGAATGGGAGGGTGACTCATGCACTCTCACTTAAAAGGCGTTTTTGTCAAAACTAGCCCAAACTTATTTGGTCAAGTAAAGATATGGACAAAGAAAACTCATAAAAACATCCCGGGAATGTCAGAATTACCCTAGAAGAATCAGGGAGAGTGACTCGCAGACTCTCAATTAAAGAGGGCTTTTAGTCAAATCCATATTACTCCCTGAAACCTTTTCAGAACCATTAAGGCTATGTTTGGAATTTGGATCCTAGAAAATACTTGGGAAAGGAAAGAAAATGACAAGGAAAACTATTTTCATATGTTTGGTAATAGCATGGACAATGCAAAGAAAAATAAAATATGATAAATGTATTTTCTTATGTTTGGTATACGTTTGGAATGCTTGGTATTTATATGATAGCAACAAATAAAAAGAATGACTTCGAAAAAAAAAATAGAAATATATTAATTGAATTTTAAAAATGCTTTGTTTTCCTCAACATTTTCTTTCCTAGCAGATTTCTTTAATCTAATATACTAATCCTCCTGAATGGACCCTAAATGCACATCACATAATTGTAATTGGATGGGACATTAATATACCTCCTGAAATGACAAAATCATTTCCGTAGAAATTGATGCCAAGAAATATCTTTCTAGCCAAACTATGATCGAGACCTACACGACCACCAAGAAGGAGCTGCAACGTAGAGTGTATCCAATTAAGTGGTGCATTTGGGCCTGGATTTTGGGGTCCTGAGAAGTCATAAGTCATAAGAGAGAAACCATCCACAGCATCACCCAAACTTTGTAAATCATTGGTCCCAAAATCACGATCCTGCAGCTTATCGGAACGTGGTGGGCCTATCACATAAACTAACTCCAGTGTTTTCTTCTTGTTTCTTTCCAAGCTTACAGAACGCATGGCTTCCCCAAGCTGTCGAATAAACTGCAATGCCTGTCAAATGAAGAGTCATCAGAATCGCTGAAGAAACTTTGACTTATAAGTCAAAATGAGACATGCTAAATAAATGGCATAACCCCTTTAACTTCTAGTTTCTTTAACATTTGGAAGAAAAGTGAACAATGGTGATAATCTTTAGATGGATATAAGAATAATTACTCCAAAACTATAACAGAATCATACACTACAGTATGCAATGTCCAATGCTTTAGTGCTTTACCATATTCCGTATATCAGGATCATCCAACACACCATAAGCTGCCCACCTTGACCAGGACTCAAGAACAATACCATCATACTCCATTTCCCTTCATAATACGGAAGGGTCTCAAATAAATGCTTTCAGGGAAACAAGAATAATTTGAAATAATTTAAGCTATGTTTGGTAACTGGAAAATGGAAGGGATAGAAGAAGAAGAAGAAGAAGAAGAAGAAGGTGATGATGATGATGATGATGATGATGATGATGATGCTAAAAAAGGGCAGCCCGGTGCACAAAGACATCCCCACAAGGAGAGGGTCCGGGGAAGGGTCCCACCACTAGGGTGTATAAGGGGCAAGCCTTCCTCAATCAAATTTTGACAAGAGGCCGCTCCCAAGACTTGAAGCCGTGATCTTTTGGTCACACGTCAACACTTTAACCGGTGCGACAAGGCTCCCCTTCCAGGAGAAGAAACTTGTAATTTTATGTTTGGTTTACTTATAAAGTTCAAAATAAAATTTTATTTGATTATGCATTTTTCAATATTTTAGTTGCATTTAAATTTATCAGACTTTTCAGAATTTTTTTTATAAAAATGTATGTGTACATAATTACATGTGTGTACATGTATTTGAGCGATGATATAAAGATGATTTATTAAGTTTGAACCAATTATAATTCAACCCAGACTTTATTTACTTCCAAATTTTCCCTCTATTTTCCTTATATTCTTCCCCTAACATTGTACATGTTCGAAACTGACCCTACAAATAAAAAGAAAAAAAAGCATACCAGCGTATGAATTTAATTCCGAATGATGGGAGTATGGGACAACTATTTCTCACTCATAACAGTTGTTGATACAATAGTACCAAAATCAAAACTTACTTGCACTCTGCAATAATAATTCTTATAGCTTTATCCCTCTTTTTCTTCCTCTTAAGAAGATCCATGGGTAAAAACATATTTTCATTAAACACTCTACTTTTATTTTCTTCAAGATCTCTTTTCTTTTCAAATACTATCGTCTTTTATTGTTAACACTCGGAAAAATGTTTCACTGTTAGTTTTTTTTGGTAAAATTTACTGTTACTGTTTTACTGCTCTATCTTCTCCTAAATGTTGGACATGAAGTTTTTTCATTTAAAGGTTTCCTCATACGGAGTATAACTTTGTCTTATTCTTCATACTTTCAATTTTTACTGTACACAAAAAATTGTGTGTATTAATACCTCCATGTTCTTGTTAGAGAAATACTTCAACATACTATCTATTGCTTTCTCTTTCTTCTTTAGACTCTCCACCTTTCCACTTTCTCTCAACTCCATCTTGTTCACTTTCTTTGCTCAAAATTTTGTTGGCATTCAGCTTCAAAGTTCGAAGAGTTGCTTTTATATTTAATATTAAGAACTCCTTATCCTTTCCCCTTCATTCAAAGCCGCTGCGAAGTAAACCATTCTCCTTCAAAACAAATTGCCATAGACACAATCACTGAACTCTTTCTCCTTACTTAATAGGCTGCCGCAATATCAACTCCAATTAAGCTAAATTAAGGCTTTTTGTTCATACCGAGGAGAGGAGTGCAATGAATGGAAGAAGGGCTTATCCTTCCTATGAAGGGTCTATATTCGATTGTTGAAGCAGCTTGGGCCGCTTGGCATGCCTCATTAACAAGGACTCCTGTGAAATTTTTAATGTAACAGATGGCTTGGGAATTGGGATAAGCATGTAATAGGAATACTTTTGCCATCAAGAAAATGTACTAGACCCAAAGAACCATCAACAAATTACTTGGTTATGATTCTGATAAATTTATTTTTTGGATCCACCACTGTTTGTTAGCCAATTTGCCATTCACTCAGGATTTATTATGTGTATGAGTATGTAAAGCTTTGTGTGAAAATGTGATGAACTAAAGTATAAAGGCACGTTTATGGTCAAAGTTATCCTTCACAAAATGGCAACAGATAGGAAAATTTATCTTAGGCAAGGTTACCATCACAGGTCAATTATTTACTTAATCAAAGTAGGGTGACCTGGAGAAGATAATATCATAATAGAGGAAGTTTACTAAAACATGCATGCAGTAGGTACAGCATATTTATTGCTTTGCTTTGCTTCAACATACATGTTCCAAAGCAGCATATTTTGTATTTACAGATACTAAAGATTATTTAACTATCCTAACTATAACAAAAAGCAAATCAACCCCCACCCCAATAACAGTCCTAGCTAGCTAGAGGAAATATGCATAGATGAGAAAGTGGACTGCTTCAAGCAATCTCTCCAATCCCAAGCATTATGGGACCCTTAACCCGGTACACAAAACAAAAAGCTGAGGTTCAACCCCATTATCTACTCTGCACCGCCATCCTCTCGGAGACATCGGCCAGAGCTTTGAGGTTACAATTGATAAGGGCATTGACGAAGTAACAGGTTTCCTCTCGTGTGTTCCCTTCCGGCACATCAACCAAGAAGGACTCGATTACCAGCGTTCCTGGCCTCCCGTCAATCATCTCCGGATGCAGCGTAATGACCGATGAGTAGTTCTGCAAACAAAAAGCAGTTTATATACTATACACTTAAAACGCATACTTGCATTCCACCAGGTCAAACTAATTAGGCTTAGTGAAGTGTTCAGCTTAATCAAATCTATCTGGTAGAAAATAAAACATAGATCAGTATACTTCACTCACTCTTCCTCAGGTTGATCTTTTGGAATAAAACTCAAATATGAAGTAGTTTATATGGCATTATAGCTAATTAAGCTGTCTAAATTAAAAACATGAGAATTTCAAGATTGGCTACATCAGTTAATTATCAATAACTCAACTTACAAAATGAATGATTCCCTTATGAGGTCAACCTTTAAGAGCTAAACTACAAGTCTTATCATGATATCGGTCTGATTGTCATTTGGTTTGAAACTGAACCCGTGACTGAAACAACTCAATATAACTTAAAAAATGTGCTCTTAAAGAGTTCAATTGTGGCTGCTACCTCCAACAAATAGGATATGTTAGATACTTAGTTTTCAAAGAAAGCTAGTCTTTTTTGTAGTGAGAGTGAGAGGGAGAGAGAGATTGGCTGCACAGACAAAAACAACTTTGATTTAAGGTAGCTTGTTTAGGATGGCTCATTTACGCAACTTGAAGTTGACCAATTCAGTTTAGGCTAAAGAAGCGTTTCAAACCCTCCAACAAGATGATCTTTTATGAAAAAACCTAATGTCTTTCATACTCCAAATAAAAACCCAAAAAAATAAACCAAGTTTTAATCATAGTTGCTATGAATCCTTGATCCCAAAGAATAAGTAAATTTATACCTTTAGGCGGTGATCACCTCCAACTATCTTGATTCCAAGAATATGTTCACTATCATCAAGAAGTTCCAACATTTCAGTGCTGGTGGTGGCTGGAAGTCCTGACTTGACGTTTACCTCTCTGAGACTCCCAATTGCAACACCATTCACCCTACACCTGCTGACGAACGGCTTATACTTCTGTGGCTCATCAAACCTCCTCACCAATGACCAAACCTATGTACCACCCAAAATGCAAACACAATAAACCACCAATATAAAACCTTGTATCTCCTTATTACCACACAATAATCAAAATTACAGTCCCGTACTAATTAACCGTGTAGCTCATATTAGCTCCTCCACTATGGTGGCTAAATTGGTGATATTTGAAAAAAAGGATAACACCCACTCTGAGGGCCCCAGAATCAACCAGAGACTTATCCAGGAGGATGTAAGTTGAGCTATGATCACACTCAAATCCAAAGAGTCCGAAAGAGAGTGAGGTTTCAATCGGTGATATTTGAAACTCTAGTTGTTGCATCACCATCCCTCGCAGGGCAGACTCACATACCCCTTTAGCAAGGAGGCTAGTCTCTGCCCCAACTTCACAAATATTGAAATTTAATATTACTTTTCTTTACTAAAGTTTTACCTGAATTTTAGTTTATTACTAAATTTAAACCTTGTATGACTCTAGTCCAACTATAAATATAATACAGTCCAACACTATATAATTCTCCATAATATAATAGAATTCGGATGGGCATGAACAGCCTGGTGCACGAAGGCATCGCTGCAAAGCACCCCATCAGGAATTTTTATACTTGGTAACACAACGAAAGCCTGTCAGTGACCCATTTGAAGATATCGAAGAGACTGGTCGACACACATATTCTCACTTTTGTAGCAAATCTTAATCTTTTTGAGTTCTTGGAGTCCTATCAACATAGCATAATCTCTTTCATGTTTCTTGTTTACATTGATTCTTTTTTTATTTCTCAAAACTTAGCTATTGATACAATTATTTATAGACTTTAAACTCTGAATACTCTATTGGTAAAAATCAAACATTCATGAGGATCATGATTGAACTATTGAAGTAATTCTAAAATGTGATCCGCGTATTGAAACAAAAATCTGAGGAGATTTTAGGCTCTCTGTAGACAACTTTTGCAAATAACTTATACACATAAATTTAACTAGTCTGCAATAAATAATTAGGCTTAATTGGTTACTTATTAATTATAACAAGGTTTATTACAACATTAGTTACAAGCAATTAATTCTTTTATACACTAAGTGGATTGAAAAGGTGTAAAATGATTCTAGACCAGTTTCTAAGGCGCCCCTGCTTTCAAGTAAGTGAAATTACTCTATGGAAATCAAGACTGTGTGTTAAGAACATATATGTATATATAAGGATGATGGGTAGAAAGGGAATTACAATATCTGTGGAGGCTTTGATGTGCTTCATAACAGTCCCAGAACTTTGGTGGTCTTTCGGATGATGCCTGTGAAACCTCTGTATGTAACCTGCAGCTTCCATTTTACAGTGAGGAAGCAGAATTAAGAAGACAGCTTATCAACCCTCCGAGGAAGAAGAAAACTGTGGATATACTTATTTATATTGTGTTACGAGGAATAATTAATGAATCTTATCGGGAAGGGCATATGTTACTATAATAATGTCTTATGTGAATATATAATGACTAGTGAATTATAAGCTGAAAATGTGTGGTGGGATGGTGCCCTTATCACTTCCCCACCGACAGTGAAGACTTTTTGGAAAGTGATTTGAGTTGTTGAACAATCGACACGCGTCGCAACGATTAACGTTCAAAGATAATGTCCCAATTTTGCCATGTGGGAGTTTATCAGTTTATGTACTGGGTATATATATCATCTCAATCTTCCCTTTTCTATGGTGTGATGATGACTGGATGCGCATCTTTTTCAGGGTGAAGCTTGGCGTAGAAATTATCAGCTTGTGTGGGTGCGTATATATATACTAGGAAAGTATGGGTGGGCATAAAAACCGAGCTGAAGCGATATTTAAATGGTGTCATGAGTTTTTATCCCGATCTGAAATCGTATCGCTTGAAGCGGGTACGGTAACGATTCTGGATTTTGAGAAACGGTTAATACCGGATTGAGCCGTTCATAATTAATTTTTCCAAAATTATATATTTTTCCCAACCCAATCCCATGCTCAACCCAAATTCAGAAGTGCTGCCCAGTGTCCACTGCGCATAACTTGTGCGAGAGAACAGATTGACGCAGAAACACAGAAACAAAAAAAACACTGTGCGTAAGAAGCCACAAACTCTTCTTTCGAATTTCAATTGCGCACAATACTAACGCAATCGTCAATTCGTTGTTGTCACTACTCGCTAGCTTGGAGTGCTCATCAACAAAGGCGATGCGACGTTGAAACCTCTGGAACACGGCATCGGTCTTCTCCCAGAACATCAACTCAGCTTGGACTAATCTCACTTTGCAATCTTTGCTAGCTTGGACTAGACCCGGACGTGCATCCAACTAGAAGTAGGCTCAATGGTTTCATCTGCTTCAATGGTTTCGTCATCATCTTTCCCAATGGTGCAATCTGAAAATTCAACCCCTCCTTATCCAATGTCTGCCCAGGGGAGCTGTGTAATAACCAAGCAAATAATCAACTTACTAGCGGTGACCAACAGCTTACCAACGGGTCCCGATATCATCCATGAACCACCACCAGGTATACAATGTCTTTTTAGGTCAGATATTTGGAATCATGTTATACCTTATTGGGTTAGACATGTCTTATGAGAAGGATGAGAAAACTCGTAAACTTGTAGAGGTAATAACATGGAAAATGAGGGTAAGTGTAAGTATTGTCCAAAAGGGCAGGGGGATTATGCATGTGACAGTGGTCCTAATGGGGCAGGAGGTCCAAGAAAAAACTTACTCGATAAGCTGTGCAGGTTCTATCCAGGAAATGGTTACTTCAAGACAACGAAAGTTTTAGCTCCGGGAGATTACAATCAGTTAACAAGTAAAGGTTTTGATAAAAAAAGAAACCATGATAGCTTGTGTTAAGATGGCAGTTCTTGTTGAGCTGTCGTTCAATTTTGTTGAGAAATAAGGGTTTAGGAGATTTTGCACGAAAGGGATGCCTCTTTTTAAGGTTCCATCTAGAAGAAATCTGGTCAGGACATTCCTAGACATGTATAAAGAAAAGAAAATGAAATTGAAAATAGAATTGAAGTCGCAAAGGATCTCTCTAACCACTGATACATGGACAAGTCTCCAGAACTATAATTATATGGTATTGACTTCCCACTTCATAGATGCGGATTGGAATGTGCAAAAAAGAGTGTTAAACTTTTTGTGTGATTACTGATCGGGCTGAACTTGCAAGTATACAAGTGCCGATATAGTAATAAAATACCGGTAAATACCGGGTCGATCCACAGGGAAATGGTTGATATTATAAAGTCGAGTATTGAATGCAAAGAATGTAAATGATATATTTTTTTAGGAACTTTGCTCTTTGAGATTGGTTTAAACAAGAATGAGAATTACTAAGGCAATCGGGATTCACCTAAATGCTTTAATAGTTATTTAATAATAGTTCTTCTCCAATAATTATGAATACGATGTCGCTAATATATTCTCAACTCCGGTTAAGGCAGCGAGAGCGTGGTTTTCGTTACGTGTAAGTCCTGTTACGGCTCACATTCATCTACCGAAAACCCCGTTGAATATCAAGACATCACACCCGTATCATATAAGACCGGATATATTTCTATTCTCGGTGCTATATATGTTTATCCTTTAGTGTTCATAGTTTAGACTTCAACGTTAATTGCAAGCATAAACTAAATTTAACATACTTCTATGTTGTACACCATAGTCATAAACAATCAAAATATAAAGGATAAATCACAATTTATTGGTTTAGAACTTTTATCAAACATCTAGTGTGCATAGAGGTTCATCCCTAGCCTTAGCTAAGAAATTAGCCTCTAATGCTCATATTAATCACAATACAATATGAAATGTAATGGAACATGAAATTACAAAGGAAATAATACCTAAACACCAATGGTTTCGGAGGTTGAAGTTTCCTCCTCAAGAACTTGAAGAAAATACCAAGAACAAAAATATAAAAGCTAAGAATTAATCTATGGAATGGAATGTATTTGCTTGATGAATTGAAGGCTTTATATAGGCTAAAGAATGGCATCTTTTAGTCTATTCGGGCCCAACAATCAGGTATGGAGCAATATTTGATCAAGAGATGAGGAAGGTGAAGTTTTCCCATCAAAAATCCTCTTGCACGACCTTTTGTTTGAGCTGAAATCGTCCCAACCGGCCCCGGTCAGTCTAGAACCGGCCCCGGTCGCAAACAGGCTCGTTAAGTGCGAAAAAACCTTCCAACCGGCGCCGGTTATAGGCTGACCGGCGCCGGTTGCAGCGCCCAAAAATGCGCTTCCTTTCTCTTCTTCCGAAATTGATCAAAAAGTGTCGGTTTTTGTCCCGGGATTTTGGGGATGTTCCGCTACGAATTTGGACATGATTCCTTCACCAAAGTTGTAGATAATGAAGTCTTCTATCCACCAAAACTTGAATGACGTGATTTTATTCATCCAATCAAACGTTATGGCTAAAACACTGAGAGGTATGCATCCTGAAATCCCACCAGCAACATCTGACTTTGTTGGTTGATTGAGTCTTGTTCCTTTCATATTTTGGCCATGACGTCTTCATAACATTTGTTCCTTATTGAGTTAGCATTCACATGAAACTCGAATCGAGTGATTTCGAGTTCTATAGAATACGTTATACTCAAATTATGGACAGAACGTCATTCTCTTGGTCTAAAAAGTCGTTCATCGCAATGTTTTATGCTCTAGCTCTCATTCTGAAGGTATTTGTCCGATTTCTCTTCCTTTCTTCAACAAATACTTATAAATACTTATGTTAAACACAAGTAAATATAACGGCTATCAAATCCCCCCACACTTGAGCATTGCTTGTCCTCAAGCAATTTCTTCAACTTTGGATGCCTTGGTTAGTTTCAACAAAAATATATGAACAAAAATAATTTAATTTTTAAGAGAGATAAAAAATGACATATAAACTCTTTTATCATTCTCGGTCCAAAAACCATTTTTTAATCAAACACAAAAAGTATCATTTAGATTTAGAAAACTACTTATACTCTTGAAAATAAAGGAATGATTTGTGACTATGGTTTTTTTTGGGTGAGTGGGATGGCTTTTTGGTGTTTTTGACTTTTAAGTTGTATGAATCAATTGAACTTCCTAGATGAGACCATGAGTTTTTTTTCTTCTTCTTCTTTTTTTCTTCTTTTTTTCTTTTTTTTTTCTTTTTTTTTTTCAAACTCATTTGAAAAGGTCTTCAACTAGTATTTACTGAAAGTCATTTGATGATGCCAATTTATTTGATGAGGTGTGAGAGTGGGTTTTGTGTTCCAAAATGGTGCTTGAATGTAGTATTTGACCATTTTTGGAAATGAAGGAAGGAGATGCTCTCTAGTCACAAGAATTTATTTTTTTTGGAAAAATTTTCAAGAGTAAAGAGTAGTCTAAAAAAAATGATAGGTTTTTTGTAAATAATTAAAAAAAACTTTCTCAACCAAATACCCATTAAAAAGAGAAATATGAAAATTTTACCTTCCTAAAAAAAATTATTTTTGCACACAAAATTTGTTTAACTAACCATGAAATGCACCCCCCACACTTGAGATACATTGTCCTCAATGTACATTGGAGGATGTAATGGAGGATGAAATCTTCAATAGCGGAATGAGCCGTCTTGTGAGAGTAGGAGATGCATGATACTTGAGTTTAGATGATGCTTTTGTTTTCTTTTTTTTTTTGTTTTTTTTTTTTTGTTTTTTTTTTGTTTTTTTTTTGTTTTTTTTGGGTTTCAATTATAAATAAATATGAATATGTATTTAACTAAACATATTTATTTATAATTGAATTTGTTGGGTTGCCTCCCAATTAGCGCTCAGTTTAACGTCATAGGCCGGACGCAACGTACCTCTCACGTGTGATTGGGCTCCTGAAGACGTTTGACCAACGTTACCTTTTTGAGATCGTGGGGAGGCCATGGAGTTGTCCGTCCATTCTTTTCATTCCCGTGGTGTGTTGGAGGGATGGAAGGATTTGTGTTGACCTTCATGTTTTGAGTTGGTATGGATTGTGTTTTCCATACATTGAATGTTTCATCGTCTCCTCCCACTCTTAGCTTTACGGTGCCTGCTTGCACATCAATGACGGCTGCGGAGGTGGCCAAAAAAGATCTCCCAAGGATGACGGGAACTTCCATCTCTTCCATGTCCAAAACAAGAAAATCTACTGGGAAGTAGAATTTTCCAACTTTGACAAGGACATCCTCCATGATGCCTATCGGATAGCGGATTGTTCTATCCGCTAATTGCAAAGCAACCGTTGTTGGTTGGAGTTCCCCCACACTTAGCTTTTTAAATAGGGAGTAAGGCATAAGATTTATGCTAGCACCAAGGTCACAAAGAGACCTTACCTCCCCGATTTTTCCGATAGAGCATGGAATAGTGAAGCTTCCGGGATCTTTTAGTTTTGGGGGAAGTTTGTTTTGAATAATGGCACTACATTCCTCCGTTAGTGCCACAGTTGTGAATTCTTC